CCTCGTTTGCTGCCCGTTGTTGCAGCATGTTTGTGCCGGCGGGCTGGTGGCATGCAGTGCTCAACCTGGACGACACGGTGGCCGTCACACACAACTACGCCTCCAGCGCCAACTTCCCCGCCGTGTGGCGCCACACCAGGAAGGGGCGGCCCAAGATGAGCGCCAGCTGGCTGGCGGCGCTGCGCCGGGAGCGGCCCGACCTGGCGGCGGTGGCAGGTGGGCTGTGAGGGGTGGGGTGGCAACTCCTGGTGCTGGCCAGACGGAACGTGGAACAGGCTGTGGCAGGGCCGAGGTTGCGTTGCAACAGCGTTCAGGCCTCTCATGGCTCAGCTCGAGGGTTCAGCTACTGCATTTCCGTGCATGCCCCTCCTGCCGCATGCAGACCAGCTCGCCGCCGAGGGCAAGGATGCGGCGGGGAGCGCAAGCAGCAGCTCCAGCAGCTCCAGCAGCTCCAGCAGCAGCAGCGGCAGCGGCAGCTCATCTAGCAGCGGCAGCGACAGCGAGGGAGAGGGCGGTGGAGGCAGCAGGCCTGCCAAGCGGCAACGAGCCGAGGAGTCGAATGGCGACGGGGCTGTGGAGCAGGCCAGCGAGAGGCCGGTGCAGGAGATTGACAGAACTGCAGCTTAGTTGCCATTTGGCATTGGCATTTTCAATCAAGCAAATCGCCATCCCCATTCAACATTTCATGCATGCACGTAGATGATATGATAGGACTGCAATCTTGAAAGGCTTTGTGGACCACACCACAAGCTCCGCTGTGGTGCGCCATCAACCACCTGTTGACAACTTCGTGCCACCCCCACCCCCGCACAGCCCGCCGGGCAGCAGCTGGTGCAGCATGCGCCGCGGCACCCCTGCCTCCACAATGTCTGGAAAGAACAGCATGTGCGCCAGCATGTGGACGGTGGCTGTGGCTGTGGCGACGCGCACCGGCAGCGGCACCTGGACGCCGGCCTGGCGGCACAGCCTGCCGAGCCCCGCCTCGGCCAGCAGCAGGGGGCCCTGGACTGTGAAGAAGAGGAACCATCGCCCTGCAGGCAGGAAGGGGAAGGGGCACCATTTGCGTGGTGTGGCAGTGGCAGGGCTGGCAGCTTGCGTGCGCAGAGCCCCTGGAAGGGCACGAGGCGGGCACAGCCGCGCACCCGACAGGCGGCGGGTGAGGTGGAAGAAGGCCAGCTCGTGCACCGCCCCAGACGCGGCAAACGTGGCCAGCATGGCAACCACGCGCCGCCAGGGCGCCGCAGCCGCTGCTGTCTGCCCGGCAAACAGCCCTTGGCAGAGGGGTTCGTACACCGTCGTCCTGAACGTGGTGCCCGCCACCACATTCCACTGCGCGCCCCAAAACTCGCTGCGCCCAGGGTGCGGCGCTTAGGGGCGTTGAAGTCAGTGCGGTGGCAGCCGCACCAGAACCATGCTCGCACAGCAGCCTGCTGCGCCATGCATGCGCAGCCCAGCTCGCCTCAGGCTGGCGGCGATGTACGGCCGGTTGAATGGCGCCAGCACCGGCATGCCGCTGACCAGGCTGGCTGCTGCGGCGGCCACCTCCAGGCACAGGCTGGTGAAACAGAACAGCGCCAGCGCTGTGGAGCAGCAGGCGGCCGACATGTTGTCAGGGCCTCAGGCGGCAAAGCAGTGGCGGTAGTGCCTGAGCGCACGCCTGCTGCCACCATCTGCTGTCAGCATGTCCCTCCCATCAGGCACTCACACTGCAGGATGCCCGTGAGCCAGTGCGGCATAACCAGGCAGTCGAATGCGGTGGCAGCTGCCGCCAGGACGGCGACCTTGGCTGCAGGCTCCCACTGCCCAAACTGATGCGTGCGCTGCACCCTGCGCCTGCAAGGCCGGCAATCGTCAACGGAGGCGAGTCCCAGGCAGCAGCAGGCGGTACCTGTGGCAGGCCGACGCCCGCACAGCGTTGACACCAGCACCGCCCGACTCACCCGGCAGCGGGCTCCGTCGGCCTGACAGTGCAGGGCAGTGCGGGGCAGACTAGGAAAGCCAGAAAGGCGAGGTAGTGGGGGAAGGGCTGCGCCTGCGGGCCCCTCCCCATGGCCCAACCCAGCACCTGCACCAGGGGCGAGTGGCAACATCAGCAGCCGCCTGGCACTGCCATGCCGCCAGCCGGCAGCAATGCCATTGCTCCACCCTCACCGCGCAGACAGACAGCCAGGGGAAGTTTAAGGAGAGCACAACAGCCCAGGTCTCAGTCAGGGGGTTGAAGAGGAAGGGGGGCAGCTGCAGGACTGCCAGGACGGGCAGGGCGACTGCCAGGCGGCCCCAGCCGGCAGGCATGTGGCGGTGAGCCCAGAGGTGAGCGGCGGCGGCCGCGCCCAGCGCTGCACACAGCAGCGCTCTCGTGTGCAGTGCCAGCATAGGGAGGGGACTCTTGAGAGAAGCTTGGCTACCTAGGAGACGGTCCTAGCGCAGCTGGGTTGCTGTGTGGAGCAAAATACTAACGTCTGACAAGGAAGCCAGGTTCTTTGGGTGCGCCGCCAGCAAGCGGCGACCTGGCGCTGGCCAAAGGGCGGGAAGCTCCCTTATTGCTGCGCCGATCACCTGGTGCTGCGTCCATTCAAGGCATTTGCAGGCATGGTGGAGCTCCTGGAGCTGGGGGCGGGGCCTCTTTCGCAAGTGCTCAAGTTGCTTCCCAGCGTACAAGACCTCTGCCGCTGCCGCATGGTGAGCCGTCGCACGGTTGTGGAATGGCGCCGAGAGGAACGGATCGCCAGCATCCCTGGTGCCCAAAGCCCTGCCCTGACGATTGTGCTTCTGTGGCCCCACCTGCAGGTCTGCCGCGCACTGCACCATGCAGGTGAGCCGCCGGGATCGTGCTGGCACGTCTGTGGGGGTGCCGCAGGGGTGCCGCCGCTGAGTCCCGCCGCCTTGCCGCCAGCCCCCAACGGCGCCAAGCCGGGTTGCCTTTGCGCCCATGGTGTGCAGTTCAAGACGACACTGTGTGGCAGGCCAAGGCCCTGGAGCTGTACCCGGCGGAGACAGTGCAGCTGGGGGGGTGCTACGGGTCGTACCAGGCGAGGGCAGCTGGGAACAGCGGCGGAGCAACGGGGGCACGCGGCTAGCCCCCATCGAGGTGCACATCACCCAGGCAGCTCCTTTCGGCTCTTCCCAGCTCACGCCTGCACCCTCGCCGTCCCTGCCGCTGCAGGAGCTGGTGCAGGACGACAACTGCGAGCACGCGGCGCTGTTCCTGCCCCTGGTGGGGCGCTCGTGCCGCTACAAGATGAACCAGCCGCACTACTTCTTCGAGTGCCTGATGCTGGGGCTGGAGTGGAACCGGGCGGAGCACACCTTCCGGTGCGGCGGGTCTGGGACATCGGGGGGGAGACGTGCTGCGCGGCCTTGTGTGTGCCCGGCCCTTGTGCGGCGTTACAGCCTGTTCCAGCTCTATAATGCGGGCTGCCTTGCCGTGTGCAGGCTCTACATCGATGCCCGGGGGGAGGTTGACCTGCGGCAGCCGGGGGAGAGCAGCATGGGGTTCATGGTGCACCGGGGCGGCGCACCAGACCGCTCGGCGATGCGGGAGCGCCTGCTGGAGCTGGAGGCACGGTAGGCGTTGGCTGCTGGAAGGAATGACCAGCGCCTGTGTGACGCGGCCACATCGCTACCTGCCTCCACTGCTGGTGCCCCCTGGCACCAGTACATCTCACCTGCTCGCTCGCGTTCCGCCACCGCTACCCCTGCCCCCTCCCTGCTGCTCTGCCCAGGCGGCAGGAGGTGCTCCGGCAGCTGGCGGCGGCGCAGGCGACGGACTGCGTGAGCGCTGTGGCGCGGGTGGAGCACCAGCTGGCGCGGTGCGAGGGCCAGATGCAGCAGGTGACGCTGGACCTCGCCCGCCACCTGGAGCTCAGCTTTGCAGACCTGCTGACGGTGGTGCGCCCGTCGGGGCCACCGCTGCTGGTGGGACAAGCAGGGCAACAAGCTGGTGAGGCCGGGCCGGGTGGAGGGCGGGCCTGCGGCTTGCTTCCGCTTCCTGCGGCTGGGCGTCGCTGCCTGGCATGCGCCTGAAAGGTGGGGGGTGCTCTCCTCTTCCTGGGTGACATGCATCTGCGCATCCGTCCCCCACCCGCTGCCCTCCTCCTTCCCAACCCCCCAGGGCTACCTGGAGTTTGACAGCCTGAACAAGATCGACGTGCTGCTGCGCGAGCTGCCCGACAGTTACGCCAGCAAGCAGCACGCGGTGGCGCACGGCGTGGACCTCTGCTTCTGCTACGCCAACCCCATCCCCGGTGCGGCTGGCCTGCTGCTGGCTTGCCTTGGCTGCTGTGCTGTTGTTGCGGCTGAGCGGCTGGATGGGTGACGACTCCAGACCTCCCTGCTGCCTGCCTGCCTCGTTGCTGTGGTGGCTTCCTCCCCAATGCGCCGCGCCGCCGTGCGGGACGCCACACGAGGGTGCTTGACGCCTGCCCTGTCCTGCCTGCCGCCGGCTGCAGTGATGCCCCACGGCGCTCTGGTGGATTATGAGCCTGCGGTTGTGGTCACAGTGCCGCCTGGGGCCAGCCTGCTGAGCGTCTTCAAAGCGGCGGGACGCTACGTGGCGCCCGGCCAGGGGCTGCAGGAGCTGGAGCAGGAGGGCCCAGAGGCGCGGCTGCAGCGGTGGGACCACCTGCCGCTGGAAGTGATGGCACGGCAGCCGCCCTGGCTGGTGTGACTGCCGCCGCAAAGGCGAGCCGCGAGCAGCTCGGGCGGCCCTGTAGCATGTTCAAAAAGCTGTGTCAGCTTGTTGCTAGTTTGTACCTCTTTCATCCCCCTCTGCATCCTGTCCCCTCTGCATCCTGTACCAGTCGAGGCCCCATTACATGCCTTCTTGTTGATGTACTTGTGCACCAGAGCGCAGCGGTTGGCATGGCAGAATCAAATCACAAGCAGAAAGAATTAGATCGAACGGAAGCATCAATCAGAACAAAACAACAACAACATGTGTAACACCAGTGCGGCATGCGTTCGTTGGAAAATGCCGTCGTGCGGCGCAGAGTTCGGCAAAATTGGGAGCTGGGCGTGGCCGCAGGGGTCGTCGTCATTCGTAAGCTGAGCGGGGGCCGGCAGGGGCCAGGGGCGTCACGCCATGGCAGGCTCCTTCACGCTGCCAAACAGCGCCTTCCACTTGGAGGGGTCCCGCCCGGGACCGTCGCCCTCCCTGCTGCCGATGCTGTACTTCTTCCCCTCCACAAACTCCAGCAGCATCGACTGCACAATCGCCTCCGCCACTGCACCGGCAACAGCCCGGGGGGTGTCCCTTAGCATGAAGGTGGCCCTTCCAGGTGTGCTCCCCACCAGCCCCGGTCCCTCTTAACCGCCTGCCCCCGCCAGCGCCTGCGGCGCGCGTGCCTGCGATGCGCGACGTCTCCCCCACCAGGTCGTCATGCAGCGACAGCGTGATGTCCTGGCGGCTGCCGCTGGTGTTCTTGAGCAGGGTGTTGATGTCGTAGCTGGTGTAGGGGCCTGCGGGGTAGGAGGCAAGCGGCGTGGGAGGCGGGCAGGCACACACCCTCCACCTAGCTCCCTGCTGCACAGCAGAAACAAAGCCAGCAGCCCGCGCTGCCATGCTGCTGCCAGCCACGGCTCGGTGCAAAGGGGCGCGGCAGGCACGTCAAAAGCTGCACCGGGTGCGGCCCGCTCACCATCGGTCAGGCGGCTGGGGCGCACGATGAGGTAGGGGAGGCCCGACGCCTCCAGCTCCTGCTCAGCCATGCGCTTGTACTTCAGCACACCTGCGGTACACACAGACGCACACATCCGCATCAACCAAAACAACAGTGTGAGGCGCAGCAGCAGCCGCGCCTGGCTGGCTGCCCTGCGACGCCCGGGGAGGCACGGGTGTTGGGGAGGAGCCACCTTCAGCCACCACCAACGCCGAAGGACATGCACGCAGAGGGCCCCAGCTGCCTGCCAAAGAGGCCCTGCCCCCGTCACGCGCAGCAGCGCACCGAAGAGGTTGAGGATGGCGAAGGGGAACTTGTCTGAGCGCTCCACCCCTGCCGACGTGGTCAGAACAAAGCGCTGGAGGCCCTGGGGGCAGGCGCGCACCAGGTTGCGCACAGACACCAGGTCAGTCTGCTCTGGGTTGTTGCCGCCGTCCCACCTGCGGCAGCCGGGAGGCGCCACCAGCCGGGGACTGTGGGGGCAGCGGCAGGCGGCCTCACACCCGCAGGCAGCCAGCCAGCCAACCGCCGCGCCCAGCCGTCGATCCGATCCGCTCCCCGCGCACCTCTTGCTGGGGAAGGCGGTGGTGCCCGTGCAGCACACCACCGCGTCCACGCCCTCCAGCGCCGCAGGCAGGCTGCTGGCGTCCCGCATGTCTGCGATGGCGGTGCTGAGGCCCTCGGCGCCCCTAAACAGCTGCTGCACCTTGTCGGCGCTGCGGCTGAGCGCCTTGACCTTGTAGCCGCGCTGCAGGAGCAGGAGCGAAGGAGCGAACCATGTCACCCAGCAGCCGCTGATGAAGGGGAGCGGTCTGGAATCGACAAATGGCATGTGGCCGGTTGGCCACGGCGGCGGCAGGCACCGGAGGGCCGCCGCCCCCACCACACCCGCTCCACCCACCTCCAGCAGCTTGGCCGTCAGTAGCTGGCCCACGCCGCCTGTGGCTCCTGCCACCAGCACGGTGGATCCTGGCTCCTGCGGGAAGGCGGGGCGGGCAGGGACGCGACACATGGGACGGGCACATTGACCGCTCGCGGCGCACCACAGTTTGCCACCGCGGCGCCTCTGCAGCCTCCCCGCCGCCAAGACTGTGGCTTTCACGTGGGCTGGCGGCTCACCACGACTGCTGCCGTGACGCACAGCCCACGGCTGCGCCTGGAAGGCCTGGCGACTCCAGCCCTGCAGCGCCCAGGAGAAGCGCGAGCTCAGTGCATGGCTGTGATCGCCTGAGTGTTGCCTGCTTTGTGGTGGCTGCGCACCTGGTGGCCAGAGAGCTGCCGGTGGCTTGCTGCAAGGTGCTGCCAATGGTTTGCGCCATCGTTGCTGTGCGGTGCTACAAAAGACCAGATAGCAGCGGTACAAGTTTCAGTTGTCTGGCAGGAAGCCCCCGGCCGCCGTTCTAATAACCTGTGCCGCCACCCGCCTCGTCATAGCGCTTCCGCGTGGGCGGCATTTCTTGAGGTGACGCCAGGCAACCTCTGGGTAGTGTGCATTCATGTGGGAGCAGGCTCCCCAATCAACTCTGCTCCCCAACCAATGCTGGTCCTCTCCTCTCGCCGCCCCACGATGCTCCCGCCTGCCACGTCAGAGCCGCCGGCGCCACCCACCCCCATCAAGCTGCCCAACGAATGCATCCGCAAGTGCACTTCACCTTCTGCTCGCCTGGTCGCCTATTTTGGTTGCCTGCTCGCCATGGTGAGGCCAGCACGCTGAGTGAGCACTGCCGATTGCCGCTCCCGATGCCGCCTGAGGCAGGCCTCGAGATCGCTCCCTGATTCGCACCCGATGCTGCAGGTCAATCCCGCCTGGTGGGGCGCCGCTCTGGTGCTGCCGGCCGCTGCCACACTCAAAGCCATTGCGGGGCGGGGCGGCAAGCCCAAGCAGGATGGGGACGGCATGAGGGCAAGGTGCGCTGCCCAAAGGTGGACAGTCGGGGAGCCAGGGCCAACGCCGCCTCGCCGTCCCCGCCTCCGCAGTGTCACTGCTTTTCGGCCCACTGCTTGTGTTTTTGGTGTCTCTGCCATGCAGACTAGACGATGCAGCGGCAGACCCCAGCTTTGTGTGCGAGCGGGTCTGCACGTCCCCACGGCTCATGCGGCGGATGGGCAGCCTGGCAAAGGTGGGCGGGCCTTGGATGGCAGCGTGCTGCCCGGTCGCCAGCCCGCACCCTTGGCCCCTGCCTCATGCCGTTCCTGGCCCTGACTGGTGCAGGATGCCACGCCCAACACATGCGTCACTGTGTGCGGCACTAGCTCAGTAGACGCGTGCACCGACGCCTGCCAGAGAGCAGTCTGCACCACCGTGCACCAGGTGCCGGCGTGGAATGACAACTGCCTGTCGCGGTGCAGCACCGAGTGCCAGCGGGGCAGGACATGAGCGACAGGGATGGTCACTCCCTCCATGCCTGTTGTCCCTTCCTGTTGCTGCTGGTCTTCCTGTCCTTGGCTGTTTGGCCTCCTGCCCGCTCCTGCACCTGCTGCACTGTCCAGTCCATTGCCAGGCCCAATTTTTCAACTCTGTGGGCTGCCCAGGCATTCACAACAACACACAGTCCAGGCCTACAGCAGCACGCGCTGCAGCTCAGCCTGCTCAATGAAATTTGCCGGCGACGGCGTGTCTCAGCCACCGCCTCATCTGGGCCCCTGGCTCTTGCGGGCGGAGCGGCGCAGCGAGGCACGGATGCCCTGTTCCGTGGGGCTCAGCTGGGGCGGCGGGCTGGGGGTGGCCCGCTGCTCCTTGCCGGCACCAGCGCCGCTGGTGGCGGGAGTCACCGCGGCTGCCGGCGTGCTGCCACCCTTCCTCTTCTTCACCGTGCTGGCACGCAGGCTGTATGAGCGGTCGGCACCGTTCTCGGCGAAGCTAGGCGAGGCATCCTGCGCCACGGGCGTGTCGGCAGCCAGCACCGTGGCCTGCGGCGTGGCGGCCTCGCCCGCCGCCCAGGTGTGCGCCTGCTGCAGCGGGGTGCGCAGGCGGCGCAGGCTCAACCGCCTGCCGTCCAGTACCGGCTGCACCTCTGCCCCAGGGATGCTAGCCACCTCAGCCTCCCCCTGCATCTGCCCATCCTGTGTCCCAGCCCCGGCGGCCCGTGCTGCGCTGCGTGTGCTGTAGCGGCGGCTGGCTGCCGCACTGGACACCTCTGGCCGCTGCACCCCCGCCGCGGGCGTGCCCGCCAGGGACGGCTCGGTGGCCTGGCTGGCTGCCTTCCTGGCCGCCTTGGCCTCCGCCTCCTCCACCTTGGGCTGGGCACTGTCCGGCATCAGCGCGGCATTGGGCACTGCAGCGGAGGCAGGAGCGGACGGGCATGAGCGGGTTCCGTGTGCTGCTGCACGCCAGGAATGTGAACAGGCGCCGCCACATCCCTCCGGCATGTGCCGCCAAGGACCTGGTGCCAGCCGCTCCTGCCATACACACCCACACCCACCATACGAAAAGTCGGCTTCCTCGAGCATCGCCTCCAGCGGCCGCGGCGGCGCGTGCGCCATCTTGCGCGCTGAACGGCGCACCGGCGTGATGGCGCGGGCCAGCCCGCCCAGCAAGCCGCGCATGCGGCTGCCGCCGGCCCGCACCGGGCTGAGTGCCGGCACGGTGCCCATCTGCGGCGGGAGGAGGGCAGGCCAGGCAGGGGCCGGTGAGGGCAGCGGGCAGGCGCAGCGCCAGATCAAGCAGCGGCGGCGTCAGCTACTAGCATCAGCTACACTGTATGTGGGAAGCGACCACAGCACGCGCAGCATCGCAGCCCTGGCTACACAGATGAACGGCAGCCCTCCCGCCCGCCCGCCCACCTGCTCAATGCCCGCGGGGTCCTCCAGCCGCAGGTCTGCCATCAGCGCCTGCAGCTCTCGGGTGATGGTGGGCGGCGCGCCGTCGGCGCCCCCGCGCCGCGCGTGGCCCAGCACCGGTGTGCCCGCCTCGTTCAGGGGCCGCCCAGATTTGATGATGGATCTGTGGGCGAGGGGACAGGAGAGGAGTGTGGGGAGCGGGCAGGCTGGGCCGACAGGCGGAGGAGCGGGCCGCATGCGTGCCTGCCCCATGCGGCCCCATGCGCTGCGCCCAGCAGCACAGCGTGACGACAACGCGACTGTTGTGGCGCCACCAGCGGGCACCCTGCCCGCTTCCCGCACCTGGGGATTGCTGGGCCTGCGCCGGCGTGGCTGGCACCGGCGCCGGCGCTGTCGCCAGCCCGCGCCTGCTGGGCCTGGCTCTCGTAGAAGCCCAGGATCTCGGGTGAGATGGTGGAGCCGCCGGGGCCGTGCAGCACGGGCAGCTCCGGCGTGCCGCCGGCAGCCGCCGCCTCTGCCGCCGCCTGCTGCTTGTGGGAGGTGGCAGCGGGGAAGAAACTGAACTCAGGGCTGCCGGCAGCCTCCTGTGCGGTGGCGGCAGGGCCAGCAGCCGCCGCAGCCGGCTCCTCCCCTGGGCGGCTGACGGCGCCGCCATCGCCGCCATCCCCAGCAGGGCTGAAGCTGGAGAAGAGGTTGGCCGCCAGGTCATCGTCCTGCTCCATCGCACGCAGCCCGCTGGAGCAGCTGCCGCGCCGCACCGTGACGGTGGTGGGGGTGTGCGCGGGGACGCCGTCGGCGTCCCGCGGCACTCCGTCGCAGGCAGACCGGGCGCCGGAAGCGCCTGGGGTGCCTGACTCGGCGTGCAGGTGAGGGGAGCCAAACTCTGCTGCTGGGCTGGGGAGGCCGCCGCCAGCGCTGCCGGGGCTGGCAGCCGCCGCCTCGTCCTGCTGGATCTCGGCGATGGTAGCCACCAGCACGGGAGCCAGGAGCTGCGCCACAGCCGAGGCCGGCGACAGCGGCTGGCGGGCTGCGGCGGCAGGCGCCGGCGCCGCCCCTGCCGCGCCGCCCTGCCGCTGCTCGCCACCCTGCACGGGCGGGCTCTCGTACAGCGCATTGCGCTTCATCACGCTGTCCACCACATTGTGCGGTGTGGGGTCCATGGCAGGGCTGCCCTCCAGGGCGCCGCCTGGCGCCGCGGGCATGGGCGTGGAGGCGCCCGCCTCCTCCATGGCAGCCTCATTGCCCGCTGGGTCAGCGGTGGCGGGCGGCGGCGTGGGGCCGGCTGCCAGCGGGCTCATCATGCTGCCAGCGCTGCTGTGGCTGTCATATCTCTTGGCCAGCTCCCGGATGGACTCAGGCACTGAAGCAGAGGAGAGGCGCCTCCAGGAGGGCGACCGCACCGCGCCTGCGACACAGCAGAGGGTGGAAGCAAGTTCATCGGCAATGCAGGGCTAAACTTGGCCCGCCGGCACGGAATGCAGCAATGACGGTGGCAGGGGCTGAAGCGTGACCCTGCCCAGCACGGCAGCTGAAGGGAGCGATGCATGGCATGCCAAGGGCCCAGCGCATCTACCAAGCTACACCTCTGCCACCCCTACCACCACCCACCATCAGCCACCAGCGCATCCAGCTCGGCATCAGGCAGCTCAGGCGTGCCCGCCTCCTGATACTTGCGGAACAGCGAGGAGAGGCGGCGGTCGTACGGCGTGTGCCCCGCACGGTTGCTGTTCACGCTGCTGCCCGCCGGCTGCTCGTCGCCGCTGCCACCTTCCTCCTCAGGGATGGCGGGCTCGGGAGTCCTGTGGGCCAGCGCCGCCACGCCCGACACATCGGGCCCGCTGCGCTGCGTGGGGCTGACGGTCCCGGCGTCAAACGTGACGTGGCGGTGGTGGGAGAGCTTGGCTGCCGTGCCGGCCGCGGCGGGTGTGGTGCCTGCGTCAAAGCGCAGCTGCTTGATGGTGCTCTGGGGGTGCAGCTGGGCTGCAGAGGCGCTGGGCGGCGGCGCAGCCGATGCTGCTGCTGCCGCCGTGCCCCGGCCCTTGGTGGTGGAGAAGTTGAGGCGCTTTAGGATGGACTTGAGGTTGGCACCGGCGCCGCCAGCAGTAGCCGGTGCGGCAGCCACGGTGGCGCCTGCCTGCGTCGAGTGCGGCACCACGAACTGCTCCGCCTGCTTGGCGCCCGGGGTGACGCCCAGCCGGCTGGGCAGCCGCACCGCCCGGCTGGTCAGCCCGGTGCGGCTGGGGGTGTGGGTGCGCCGTACGCTGCGAGGTGGCTCCGCCGCGGCCGAGGTGGAGGCGGCATGCTCGTTCTCTGCAGCATCATAGGATGAGCGTGCACCATGGGGAACAAGCCGCAGTGCGTCACACACCCGCTCCCAGCCCTCTGGCAGCAGCGGCACAGGAGGTGGGCTCAAGACGCTCGGTGCGTCACGCATCGCACCTGCGTTGCAATCTGCGGCCTCCGGCTGTGCCGCCGGCGCCGGCGCTGCCACCAATGGCTTGAGTGCTGCACGCACGCCAGCAAATAGTGCATGGTTATGAGTCGCTGCAAGCACTGACTGCTAGCTGAGCCAGCGCGAGGCAGCACCCCGCCTGCACAGGCCTCGGCCCACCTGGCGCCGCCGCCGCCGCGCCAGGGCGACCCAACGCGCTCACGCGCTGCGTGTTGCCATCCTTCAGGGATACCTGCATGAGGAAAAGTGAGGGGAGGCATCGGCGGGGCGTCCCACGCACCTTGCTGTTTGTGTGTGGCTGTCCATCTGCAGCTGCGCCCGTCTGTCCCGCCTGGGCTGGGGCAGCCAACGCACCTGCACCAGCGGCTGCTTCACTGGGGAGCAGTCGAAGCTGTCCTCCTTGAACGCCACGTTCCAGTCAGGCAGGTCCAAGTCGGAGCTCCCTCCTGGGCCCGCCATGTTTGCAGGGGCGACCGCCAGGCGCCCTGGGATATTGTAGTGGCTGTCGGGGCCTCCTGCTTCAATCAGGAGGTGGGAGTTTGATGCGGTGGCGGATGAGCTGGCAGGGTTCCCACCGGTTATCGAGCCCTCGGCAGCTGCCCAGGCATCACTGCAGCGCACCAACGCACCTGCACACCGTAGACAGGTGAAAGCGGCCTGGCGCCCGTCCAGCCCCATCACAGACCCGCGCCGCGCCCAGTGGAGCCGGCAGCCTCACCCGCTTGCCGTCTAAGGTGCGAATCGTGCATCGTCGGCGGTCAGCGCCTCTCGGGGCCTTGCACCAGTGCGCACATGGGCTCATCTCGCCGCTGCCCTGCCCCTGCAGGCCCGCTCGACTGGGCAACACCCCGGCAGGATGGGCGACATAGCAATGGCCGAGGCGCAGGCAAGCGCTGCCCCCTGCAAGCCGGCAGGCGCAGCGCCGCCATCACCATCCCCGCTCGCCCGCCTGCCGCACCCCTTGCTACTGTAGCGCCTTGCTGCCGCCGCCACACAAACACACATGCATCTCTGCGCCCCCGGCACGCAGGAAGACCCTCTGTCCCTGCCGCCTCACGGCACCGAGGTGTTCATCGGCGGCCTGCCGCGCACCATCACCGAGCAGCAGCTGCGCGACTTTGCGTCCGAGGCGGGCGACGTGCACAGCGCCAAGCTGATCAAGGACCCAAACAACCCCTCCCAGAACAGGGGCTACGGCTTCATCAAGTGCGTCTCCACCTGACGCCGCCCAGCCCGCCGTCAGGCCAGCCCACAGGCTACGCAAGCCCTCTTGCTGCTTCCATCTCACGTCCTCCCGGGGCCCCTGTCCCCCGCGCCTGACCCGCTCCCGACCTCCACTGCTACCCCCACTGCACTGCGCTTACGCTGGGTGCTGCTTGACGACCCCCCCCCACACCTCCTCTCTGCCGCAGGTTCTACACGAAGGAGGCCGCCATCTCTGCCATGGACCGGCTGCACTCCAAGGAGCTGCCCGACTTCCCGTCCACCAGGGTGCGCATCCAGCCCAGCCAGGCCAAGCACAAGCTCTTCATCGGGGGCATCCCGCATGAGCTGAGCCGGGAGGAGCTTAAGGACATGCTGGACCCGATAGTGAAAGGTGAGGCGGGGGGGCTGGCTGGGGGTGGGTGGGTGTCGCTGCGGGCGGCGGGCTGCGAACTGGGCTGCGGGACGACAGGTTTGCGCGGGTAGCAGCTGGGGCCAGCCGACAGCCCTGCTTGCCCTGAGCCGCCACCCCTGCGCACATGGCCTCATCCACGTGCCCCGCACACCCCTGTTGCACCCCAACCTGTGCCTCCCATGGCATCCTGCTGCGCCGTGCCCCGCTCGTGGCCCTCCCAGCCTGCCCTCACCCCGCTCCCGACCCGCCGCCCACCCGCTCGCCGCCCACCCCGCCTGGCCCCTGCCCGCCTCGCGCCCGCCCTCCCACCTCTCTCTCGCCTCCTTCCAGGCCTGGTTAAGGTCGACATGGTGAAAAGCAAGGACCCCGCACACCCTGAGCATAACCGTGGCTT